GACCATTCTTTTAACATAGCCATATTTCATGTAATCAAACGTGACACTCAACAAACCCCTAGCTAGTTCAGATATTTCAAGTGTTCCAGTTTAAGCACACCGGGTGCAACTAATGAAGTTCTTGATTACTTGCATCATGTATACTTGAGACAATACCTGTTTTGCATAATTGAGCTGTTGTGAGAGATTTTATTCAGGGAGTTGAATCATTTTGATTTTTTTTGTTTGATTTGTTCAGTGCAAACAACTCAAAGTCTGTAAATTTTGAAAATAAACCTGATTCTCAAGGGGGGTTGAATTATTTTGATTACATGGAGAAGAGTAGTTGTTCTCATGAGATTTTTGATACACTGGTGATTTTAAAGCTATGAAGTGGCTGAAAGGTGTAACAAAGCAGATGTATCAATGAACAAAGAGACATAGAGAGCTTGAAAGACGTAATAGAAGGCTGTAATGCAGGGAGGCTGGATGACATGTACAAGAAGAGCCTGAAATGTTCTTTGTGTTCACAAACAGAAGACACCTGTGAAACAAAGGGGTTTCTGTAAAGTATATGCACTGTGCCAATCAAACTCTGTTTTCGTGGTTCATAACTCACTCAGCAACAATATAAGAAGTACATGCTTTAAAGAGAGTCTATAGTGCCAGCAAAACAAACCCGTTTTCCTGGCACTATAGGCTCCTGCAGTGCCCCCCTCCCTTGCGCTCCCTCTCCCGCGGTGTTAAAACCACTTCAGTTACTTATCTAAATCCAGTGCAGATGTCCACCGGTGCTGGGTCAGGCTCCACCCATGCTCCTCCCCCTCCAACATCAGCTGGCAGGGGATGCCTAATGCACATGCACAATAGACCTCCCCATAGGAAAGCATTATTCAATGCTTTCCTATGGGGAAAATCTAACGCTGGAGGTCCGTGAGGACATCCAGCGTCAGATAACCGACCAAAGGTCGGTTTGGATTCCGGAAGCCCTCTAGTGGCTGACTTTTAGACAGCCACAGAGGGCAGACTTAGAGCTGCAATGTAAACATGGCAGTTCTCTGGAACTGCAATGTTTTACACAGCAGCACTAAATGCAAAAGGGTCATTGCACTCAGACCACTTCAATTGGCTGAAGTGGTCTGGGTGTCTGGAGTGTTAACTTAGTGACCTGACCTGAAAATATGTCTTGGGAAACATCTGTTATATACAGAAAATAGTATTTGGTGTTGTAACCCCATTTTTAAGTATAACATAAGAGAAAACAAGATTTAAGCTAAAGAGAACCTCCCATTTCATTTTCCTGAATAGTTAAACAATGTGTTTTTAATATATTTGCTTACTGTTTTGTTTTCATTATCACAGCCAATCTGCCAAAAGGTGCTGAGCAAGCTTTATCTGTCAACATCTGCTATAGGTACGTCTTTTTAATGCTGGCTTTACTTTAATTGGGACTGTTTAAAATGGTTTCTCATGTGAACATAACAGGAGCAGGGTATGAAGGTAAATATATTATGAACTTCTAGGTGTAAAATTAGTTGAGTTGGAGAAATTTCCGGTTAGACTGTATTGACCTACATTTGAATTATTGAATAAACCCATTAACTACTTAACTTATGCCTTAAAGACGAGTTGTATTCTTTGGAGCCATTACAATCTAGTCACTATGATAACTTTAAACAAATATATTCGGGGCCAGTTCAAACCTTTATCTGGAAATCTATTCATAAACAGGGCTATACATAGGACACGAGGTCACACATTTAGGATGGAAGAAAGGAGATTTCATCGAAGTCAAATAAAAGTTTTTTTTTTTACAGTAAGCACAATAAGGATATGGAATTCTCTGCCTGAAGAGGTGGTTTTGTCAGAGTCCATACAGAAATTGGATAAATACTTACAAAAACATAACATACAGGGATATAATTTCTAATTAGTGGGGTAATAGCTGCTTGATCCAAGGAGACATCTGACTGCTATTTTGGGGTCAAGAAATAATTTTTTCCTAGTTTGTGGCAAAATTGGAAGTTCTTCAGACCAGGGTTTTTGCCTTCTTTTGGATCAACCGCAACAACATTTGTGAGGAAGGCAGAACTTGATAGACGCAAGTATCTTTTCAGCTATGTAACTATGTAACTTATTTTCCATATTTTTTCAATTAATTAAATCATGTTTTGTCATCTCGAAAAATGGAAGCAGGAATTGTTAATATTTTCATCTCGAGATTATGGCAATTAAAATTTATGAATAATTTTATAGACACTATCTTGAGGCTCACCACTTAAAACGATTGAAAATGCATCTTTAGAACAACACTTTCCACTCTGTTTTTCATTTGGTTCACATTCTAAGTATTAGTATTCTTTTCCAATCCCTCCTGTATAAATGGCTCACTTTCCTGAAATAAACTTAAACTCACATGCTTTGTTTACAGGCATATTTTATGCATTAAATTATATTTTTGTTTGGTACCCTAGATCTCGATAGCAGATGGTATAACTCATTGTAATTAACAATTTGTGTACTGTATGTTGCTAAAAGAGCATTGTGAATAACAAGACTCTGGTGATAAGAATTTGTATTTATTGCCTCGTTTGTGACATAGACAGACAGACAAAACATATGTTATTTATACAATAATCTGCTGTATGACTGTATCATAGGTTTTTGTAAAAGACATTAACTAACTGTATGCCAAAATAATATGGGAACCCTGTTTTAACTTTTACATAACTCATAAAATATTCTTAATATGAAAAACTGAGTGTTTTATCTATCCTACAATTAGATATACCATAATGGGTGATATAATTACCAGTCTAGAACCCAAGTCCCTTTCATATTTCCTTCTGTGCCATTCAATAACATCCTTTTAAAATATTTATTTGTATAATTACTTTTTCTAGGCACCTGAAGGAAATGCCTGCTACAATGTCCATTCTAGATATATCTATGATGACTGGCTTCTCTCCTGATGTTAATTCACTAAACCGGGTGAGTGGGACAGTTTAATCTAAAACATAGTATGATCCTATAAAAAATAAAAATAAAATATATTCTATGTAAAAAGTCTGGGTGATAGACTACTGAGTGTGTCTGGAGGAAATCTCATTCTGAAACGGATTTCATCTAATATAGAAACATTCTCCATTCTTACTTAGTTACATAGTAATCTAGGTTGAAACAAGACTAAATTCTATCAAATTCAACCTGTAACCCATACTTGTTTGCTTTTTATCAAAAAGAAGGCAAGAAACCCAATTGTAATCATTTCCAATTATGCTGCAAAATGGAAAAACAAATTCTTCTTGACTCCATAATGACAATTAGATTTCTCGTTGGATCTACAACCAGTTTACATACATTTTAATAATATCCTTTGAATATTCATTTTATTCAAATAACATCCTAGCCTTTTGTTTTAAAAAATCTGTAGAATCTGATGAGACAACCTCGTTAGGTAGAGAATTACACATCTTTATTCTTCTTACTGTAAACGCTTTCCTCTGCTGTAATTTCTTTTTAAAGCGTGATTTTCATTATTATTTACAGCTAATGGATGGAGTGGACAAATATATCTCACGGTATGAACTTGACAAAGGAGTCGTGGATAAGAGCAATCTTCTTATCTACCTAAATGGGGTAAGAATCCTTTCATGTCCTCCTTCATTTTTACACTATTTCTACATTTAATGCTACATATCATTATACTTAAATTATTACATTTCATTAATTATATTCTTAATGTGAAATAATCTTAACTTCATCATGGAGCAAGGCGTGATAAACGCCTCTAGCAGTAAGTGGGAAAAAAACTTTGTACTTCTTACTCTGTTTCTATGTTACAAAACCTTTTGTAAAGTTATCCTCAGTTTATCCAGATCCAGCCTGTAATATTAAAGGGATACTATAGTGCCAGGAAAACAAAGCCATGTTCCTGGCACTATAGGGTAATAGATCTCCCCCTCCCTCGCACCCTCCTTCCGCGGGGCTGAAGGGGTTAAAAGTCCTTCAGTCACTTACTTGAATCCAGCACTGATGTCCCATGGCGCTGCATCAGTCTCCGTCCATGTTCCTCCCCCACCGACGTCAGCCGGCGGGGGAGTCCTAATGCGCATGCTCGACAATGGCCGCATGCGCATTAGACCTCCCCATAGGAAAGCATTATTCAATGCTTTTCTATGGGGAAAATCCAACACTGGAGCTCCGTGAGGATGTCCAGCATCAGATAACGGACCAAAAGTCAGTTTGGATTCTGGAAGCCCTCTAGTGGCTCTGGAACTGCAAACCTTTACATTGCAGCACTAAGTGCAAAAGGGTCACAGCACCCAGACTACTTCAATTAGCTGCAGTGGTCTGGGTGCCTACAGTGTCCCTTTAATATATATTTATTTATCCAACGCCCAACTTAACAATATCTCCGACAGCTTATTTGTACTTGGATATCTCTTTTACCAGCCTAGGATGCATTCCTTCTTCAATTTTCTACTAATTCCCTTGCTAGGAGTGGATTAATGTAAGGACAAATTCATAATGTGTGGTTTGGGAGACACAGGTCTCCTCTATGGTCTTGCTGAGCATCTTGGGAAACACGATCCATAACACATAAAAAGCTTCCTTGTCTGTGACTCTTCCTATTTGTGAAGATGTAAATTATGTAAATTAAATTGCCAGTTTTATAAATACATGAGCATAGTTAGGTATGTGTCTATAGAGTCTGGTGGCAGATATAGGTCCCGCCTATGATCTTTTAAGCTCAGAACACGGGAATGACAGGGGAAAATATTTCCAAATAAGAATAACTAACAAACAAGCACATAAATCTTCACCAGTCTCTTTCTAATGTTGCCATATAACCTGTCTGGTGTGTTGATAATCTGTAGAAGGCCTCTGAATCATCCCAATTTAAGCTGAAAAGTCCCAATTTTTGGGTTCTGTCCTGCCGTCCCGACTTAGTTCCCTGTTGTCCTGCTTTAGATGCATTTGCGCTACGTTCAGGGCACTAGCAACCTGCAAAGAGCACTGAAGCAGTCCTCCCGGCAAGGTTTGCCCTCATTGCACTGGCCTGAATGATGGATAGGCAGCCAGAATGCATTCATGCCAATAATTTGGGCGGACCCTGTCACTTTTTAAAGAAGGCCTGTCCACATTGGGGCTTTGCGGTGAAGCCAGTGATCATGTGACTGGCCTTGCCCCTTTCTCCCACTTGCATCCCTAGTCTCTGGACTCTGGAGTAGGGAGGTATGTATATAGTGCCCATCACTCCCCTACACATCTGTCATCTCAAATAAATGTTTTAAAGTACTTTCCCATTCTATATCGCATGTAATGACCTTATTTTCCCTGGCAGTACGTCTTGGTTCTATCCCTGCCTCTCTGCGTGCTTGATCCCTACCTCTCTGTGTTTTATCCCTACATCGCTATGCTCTATCCCTAATACCCAAGCCCTCTATTCCTACCTCAATGTTATAAAACTATCACTCTAGGCTCTATCCAAATCACTCCATGTTTTATTTCTACTTCTCTGTATGTGATATTACTATGTCTATCTCTACCAATCCATGTTATATCCCTACCACTTTGTATGTGTTATGCCTAAGTCTATCACTACCTTTCTGTGTTCTATCCCTAACTCTACAGAAGTAGTCCCAGAAGATTGGAAGTTAGCGAATGTTGTGCCCGTGCACAAGAAAAGTAGAAGGGAGAAGCCAGGCAACTATAGGCCAGTAAGCCTTACTTCAGTAGTGGGGAAAGTAATGGAAACCATGTTAAAGGATAGTATTGTTGAACATCTAAAATCCCATGGATTTCAAGATCAGAGACAACATGGGTTTACTTCAGGGAGATCATGCCAAACTAATCTTATTGATTTTTTTGATTGGGTAACTAAAATTATAGATCAGGGTGGTGCAGTAGACATTGCTTACCTAGATTTCAGTAAGGCTTTTGACACTGTTGCACATAGAAGGCTTATCAATAAACTGCAATCTTTAAGTTTGGATTCCAATATTGTTGAATGGGTAAGGCAGTGGCTGAGTGACAGGCAACAGAGGGTTGTAGTTAATGTAGTATACTCGAAGCTTGGACTTGCTACCAGTGGGATACCTCAGGAATCTGTACTTAGACCCATTCTCTTTAATATTTTTATTAGTGATATTGCAGAAGGTCTTGATGGTAAGGTATGGCTTTTAAGTGATGATGTAAGATATGTAACAGGGTTGATGTTCCAGGAGGGATAAGCCAAATGTCAAATGATTTAGGTAAACTAGAAAAATGGTCAGAGTTGTGGCAACTGACATTTAATGTGGATAAGTGCTTGGTTGTATAGGGAGAGGTACAAGCAGTAGAAAGAGGGAAGTGCTCATGCCATTGTACAGAACACTGGTGAGACCTCACTTGGAGTATTGTACGCGGTACTGGAGATCGTATCTCCAGAAGGAAATTGATACTGTAGAGAAAGTTCAGAGAAGGGCTGCTAAACTGGTCCATGGATTGCAGGATAAAACTTACCAGGAAAGGTTAAAGGATCTTAACATGTATAGCTTGGAGGAAAGACGAGACGGGGAGATATGATAGAAACATTTAAATACATAAAGGGAATCAACACAGTAAAGGAGGAGACTATATTTAAAAGAAGAAAAACTACCACACAAGAGGACATAGTCTTAAATTAGAAGGTTTAAAAATTATTTTAGGAAGGATTACTTCACAGAGATGGTAGTGGATGCATGGATTAACCTTCCAGCTGAAGTGGTAGAGATTACCACAGTGAAGGAGTTTAAGCATGCGTGAGACAGGCATAAGGCTATCCTAGACTTAAGTTAAGGCCAGGGACTAATGAAAGTATTTAGAAAATTGGGCAGACTAGATGGGCCGAATGGTTCTTATCTGCCGTCACATTCTATGTTTCTCTCTGTGTTTTATCTCCATCTCTCTACATCTGTGTTCTCTCCAACTAGGTCTCACGCACGGAAGATACTTGCATTAAGATTACACTCTTTCAACACTTTAAAGTTGGACTCATCCAGCCTGGATCTGTTACTCTGTATGACTACTACAATCCCAGTAAGTAGCCCTATAGAGAGCTGTATGATATTCAACTCACAGAGTGCTTTAGCTGTTGACACAAGTCTGTTTCACCCTTTCGTATCACCTTACAGAAAGTCGTTGCACTAAGTTCTACCATGTTAATGAAGACAGCAAACTCCTTGGGAAGATCTGTAAGGGCGAGGAGTGCCGCTGTGCTGAGGGTAAGGCAGAGCTTCGTGTAGTTAAACATGTAAAGATAAATAAGATTGGAATTTGTTATGTGTGGAAAAATGGAATGATACAGGTAATATGTAGTTATTAGAGGGGTCATACGGAGAGGCTTTGTGAAGATTTATAGGGAAAAAATGTATATCTATGTACACACTATATATGTATATAATCTCAGTGATTGAGACGATAGCCAATAAGGGCATGTATTCATAAAAGGAAATTTGGTTGAGATAACATGATATTTGAGTTCGCCTGTTTAAGAGGTTCCACTTAGGAAAGCATTAGTCTGGAAGGAGTGAATAGTTTAAGGGAGAGGTATGAGAGATCAATAGACCCAATTGGTAGAGATCAATGTATCCTGATTTAACATCCAAGTGGGTATAAATAGTAAAAAAAAAAAAATTTAGTTTCATCTGAGCAGACTTTCATCCATTTGTTTATATTTTTGGGGACAAAATGCACCCGTTCTCTCCGTTTTGGAATTTGTCCACTCTAGACCCCACTCATTGGAAGCAGGTGAGGGCCCTAAATAATAAAGTGGGGGTGACCTATTGTCCCCCACCCACCAAACGTTTAAAACAAAAAGGACCCGACTGCAAAAAAAAATAAAAAATGCGGAAAATAAAAATCCAGATGAAAAAATAATAAATATTGCTGGGCGGGCATAGCCTTTAAAAGCTTTCCAACATTTCCCAATTTGCTCTGACAGATAAATCTTAAGACTTACCACCCTGCAAGCTCTGTCTGTCTGGAGCTCTCGTGGGGTGAAGATGGTTTATTTTTTCATCAAAAGTGGGGAATTATTTTTATGAATAACTCCCACCCACAATGACAATAACAATAGATTTTCCCTCACTTTATTATTTAGGGCCCTCATCTGCCACCAATGGGTCCATCCCCCACTTTATTATATGGGACTCCATTGCTTTATTAAATGTGACTCCACCTGCTGCCAATAGGTGGGATATTGCGGGGACAATTGGTAACTTCTCATTTTATTATTTAGGGCCCTCACCTGCTGACAATGAGTTAGAGCAGGTGGATACTGTGTTCCCCTGTTATTATGTTAACTATCCCCCACCTGTGACAATGGGTAAGGGTAGGAGAGGTACACTAGGTCCCCTCTTTTTACCTTAATAGTCCCCACTCAGGGCACATGGTTGGCGACACAAGGTCCCCAGTTATTATTTAAATAGGGACATCACCATGGAGGCATGAGGAACCTGTGCCAGGTCCTCTTTATTGTATTGGCAATAGAAATAGCAACTGCACTCTATAACAGCGTACAGACACCTTCTCATGGCACAGTGGGCAGGCACAGACAGGAGGGAGGACTTAATCACCCTTTTACTAACATGGGGTCATATTGACCTGTATAGTGTAAAAGGGGGGAGCATGGGTTAATTTAGGAAGCAGCTATGAGCATAGCTCCTGTTTTTATTTTTAGATATTACAAGGAGGAAGCTGTGAGCTGGTAGTTCCCTCCTTGTACTAAACTAAATGAATGAAGAATGAACTGCAGGATAAAATTTCGTCCAACAAGCAATTCGGTCTTCGTTTCATTTGTTGTAATATCTATTTGTTAATTTGTCTATCGTACAAATCTATAGATAACCATTTTGGCTTTCAATTTAAAATTCCCTTTGAATTCCTGACAGTTCTCACTTTAGTAAATAATTGTGTAAATATATATCTTTTAGAAGCACTGTTACTGTGCTTCTTGAGATATCAACAGCTTCCACTACAGTTAACGCGTTAATGCCATCAGGGCGTGCTATGCCAGCCTAGAAAAGCAAAAGATCTCGCCTTCCTGGGAGCCCGGATACTTACAATGATCCCACTCAGGGGGTTTAGCTGACAATTGAGGCAGTCACCCTGTTACAAATTTGTCCCATCCAAACCATGTGATTGTGATGACATTGCAATCACATGAATGAGTCGGCAGATAACATCACAGCCTGCAGGGGACTGTCTGGGCTGTCAGGCAGATCCTCCAACATGTAAATAATAATAAAACAATAGATTATGTATAAATACACACTAAGAATAGCAATATATACATATGTGGGTGTGGGTGAGGGTCGGTGTGGGTGGGGGTGTGTGGGGGTGTGTATATGTATATGTGTGTATATATTATGTGTGTGTATATATATATGTATGTGTGTGTGTGTATATATATATGTGTATATATTGACATATATACACAGACACACACAGTCATGGAAAAAAGCAAGTACACCATCTTTGAATTCTATGGATTTACATATCAGGACATAATAACAATAATCTGTTCATTAGCAGGTCTTAAAAATAAGTAAATGCAACCTCAGATGAAAACCAACACATGACATATTACATGGTTTCATGATTTATTTAACAAAAATAAAACAAAAATGGCGAAGCCATGTGTGAAAGTACATCCTTACTTCTTCCATGGGAATTAAGAAACTAAGTAGCAGACAGGTTCTGCAAATAAAGGCCCTTGATTAATTGTTCATCAGCAGGTGTGCCCACTTCTATAAAAGCCATAGTTTTAGCTGTTTGCTGGTCTGGAGCATTCAGGTGTGTGTTAACAGTGCCAAAGAAGAAAGACAGGCATTGATCTTAAAAAAGCAGTTGTTGCTGCCCATCAAATAGCAAATTTAAATGTGTAGAAACGGAAAAGGGGAAGCTCTTTGTTTGACCCTTTAATTTTCCAAAACACCATGAATCCTTACATGGGGGCATCATTGTAGTTGTTATACATTACGGCATACAAATACATATTTTTTTATTGAAGTAAAAACTAACAGTATTATGACATTCACAGCTGTCAATCAAACAGCCACTAGAGGCACTTCCTGGATGCTAATGGACTTTAGGCACCCTAAGTGATGCTGGGCATCCTCATGCCCAGCATCAGGGAAATGCCCAAAGAAAAGCATTGAGGCAATGTTTTCCTATAGGGAGGGCTCACACATCTGATAACAACAGAGGAGCACCAACCCAGCACGGAGGGACATTGACGTTGGAATAGGGTAAGTAAATAAAGGGTTTTTTAATGCTTTACATGATGGGTGGGCTGCAAGGGAGGTGGGGACCAGAAGGCACTATAGAGTCAGGAATACAGATTTGTATTCCTAACACTATAGAATCCCTTTAAAGGTTATGGATAATGAATAGTAGCGCTAGTGAGTCAGCTGGGTTGTTTTTTTGCTTGTTTTCTGGAGCCAGAACTTATTATATCCAAACATAGTCTAAAAGGCAATTGAACTGTCTGACAGTTAGAATTCTGAACCAGGTGCCTGGGTACTTCTTATTACTGTTTTAATGGACTTATTAAATATGACCTCTGACCTCTCTCCCTCTGGACTGTAGGTAATTGTGTTAGGCAGCAGAAGGGGACAGAGGAGATCACAGCCCTTTACCGATACGAACAAGCATGTGCTGTTGGTGTGGACTATGGTAACTGCTTTTCTTTTGAGTAGATATATTGTATTATTATAATGGATAATGTGACACAGTTTGCTTGTATACACTCAACTAGATAATTATTATTTTTAAGTAAAGTGATGACATTTGTTTCAAAGATATTAATTTACAAACATTCCTGCTATCTCAAGCAGCACAGGATTATTCTAAAAACATAACGAACCCAGCTGTCAAAAACTCACAAGGAATACAAAATGTCACCACCGTGCTATTATTTAACATATTACAATAGTTGCTTTGTGCCCACACATGGATCAATAATGGATCAATAAGGATTGATCAATAATGTAAGCTGCGTACTTGGAAACATTGTGTTAAAATGTATGTATGCTTAGTCTTCAACAAAGTATGGTGTATCTCTCATGAAGTAATCCTCCAGAGACAGCTGTAATAAATAACGGCGATAGGACCAGCCATTCGTAAAGTCAGGAATGCCCAACAGGTAGATCCCCAGAGGTTTTAGAACTAAAACTCCCATGATGCTTTGCATGCCTCTAGAATGCATTTAGAATGACAAAGCATCATGAGAGTTGGGGTTCTAAAACATCTGGGGATCTACCTGTTGGACAGCCCTGCTTAAAGTGATAATTTATTCCCTGCTTTTTAAACTCATAGTATCATGTTCAGGATTATGTTGCACTGAATCTTTTTAATATTTTTATCATTTTTGTCAGAAATGCTGGCTACCAGTGTAATTTTATTATATGTTTTACATATTTTTTAGCCCTTTGTCCTCTTGTTGGGAGTCCACCCTCTAATCTCGGCACCTAAACTTCTTCAGCCTCATCATAGCTTCCTCTCTGTTTAGGGTGAGATAGTTACATGACCCTGTGGGATCAGGGTTCCCGAACATCCCCTGCATAGAGAACCATGATAATAAATAACGTGAACAAATCTTTAAATATTGAAACATCTGCTTTCAAAAAACATCTTCCTGATAGCATATTAGATGGTTCCTATATTTTAAACGAGTTAGAAGTTCATCTAAATAACCACCAATACAGATAGATAGCAAAGTCTAATATGACAATATTCCGATAAAAAGTCAAAATACCAGACTCTTCACTTTAATTTTAGGACATGTAGAAGAAAGGATGAAATCATGTGCAGAGCTTCCACATAAAAGCACACATTTCAGAGCAAGTTACATATACAGGATAAACAATAAGTTAAAGTAAATCAGCACAATGGTAGGAGTTGCAGACACGATATGGTCCCAGTTGTACTGTCCACATAAATCAGAGATAACTCCTTTCTCTATCAATAGTGCACAACACATGAATACTAAATCAAGCAATTAAATCTATAAAATAAAATAAACATATAAAGATCTAACAGCCCTACGTGTTTTATTTAATTACATGAACTTCCTCAGGGACAAGTCAATTTGCATCTCTGTTGGGAAAGCAGTATGTTCTCCAGTTTGTATTTTGATGGTATTTAAAGCCATTAGGGTACTCTTGCAGGCTGCCATCAGCCAAACCGCTCGGAATCTCTTCACCTATAAGCAATTTCCTTCAACCGCGATTCAAGCCTTTTTCTCATTTTGCATTACTAGTCACATGTGCTTTCATGTTCGCTTTCATGTCTTCGCTTCTGCATTCCAAAGAATTGGAACCCTTAATTCTAACCATCCTTAGACTCATAGATACATGAAATACAGAACATTTTGGTAAATCAGGCATTTGGTCAATAAAGTATATGTAATACATCTCATGCACATACAAAAAGGTCCACATTGTTGGAGTATAGATTATTCTAATGTCGTTGAGAAGAAAATATATCAATCTTTTTTAATTTATAAAAAATATAGCAAAAATCCAATATATATATATATATATATATATATATATATATATATATATATCCAAAATCTGGCACTCTTCCCACAAAAATTTTTCAACTCATGCAAAATTTACCAGGGTGCTTCTCTGTGTACATATATAAACCAGAAAAAATGAGAGCACTCACTGGATTTAGCCAAAAAAACTTATATTAAATAGTGAACAAACAAATCAACTTTTCGACAGTCTTGCAGTCTTTATCAAGATCTTGATAAAGACCGCGAGACGGTCGAAACGTTGATTTGTTTGTTCACTATTTAATATATGTTTTTTGAGCTAAATCCAGTGAGTGCTCTCATTTTTTCTGGTATGTATATATATATATATATATATATAATATTTTATATTATATATTTATATATATATATATATAAAAAAAAAAAAATCGGATTTAGGCACTCACCCTTCAGAAGACTCATATGATTGTTGCCTTTGGTGCTTCCAGCGTCAAAAAAATTATACCCATAGATAAATAGGAGCACTCAACAGGACTTCTTTATCGGTGTTTATTGTAAAAAAGTTACATCAAAGTGTAAGACATCAAATCGACGTTTCGACCCCTCAGGGTCTTTTTCAAGATCAAACACAAAGTGAAATGAATGCAGTTTAAATATGTGTAGGGAACAAATGACTCACCAATCTCGTGTGTGCGGCTAGCCGAACCCGGAAGTGTCTCGGCGTCTCACGTGATGGCTTCAACGTGCGTCATTACGTGTAACGTGGTTACTAGGTGATAAGATGTAAACTGTAACGGATACATCTATCGTGCTTAATTGCAACTAATGTGACTATGTATAAGCCAAAGTGTTAAGAGATCTCATTCTAGAGATCAAAAAGTGAATGATAAAAACAAAGTAATACTAAATAGGAAGATTTACTTGTAATTCGTACTGGGAATATAAAGATTGATATGTCTCTAAGATAATGCCTAACAAAGTGCAATAAAGGGCAATACAAAGTGCAGTGCATAAGAAAATGTAAGTATTGCATGTTCAAAAAGAATCAAATCGGCAAAAATCTCTGAGACTAAATCTAAAGTCATACTACTAGTATCTATGCAGGCTAGAATACAGTTAGATATGCATAATGTCATAATAAGTATCTTTACAACTTAATAACTCTTCGTGTATACCACATACTCAATATCAGAAGAACAAGATCAAATAAATTTAGTTAATCAAGTAAACATAGAAAATGATATATATTCATTGAGTCCTTTCGGGGTAACAGTGTCTAAACGGTGTATCCAATAGGTTTCGCGTTGGAGTAACAATTTCGATCTATCCCCTCCTCTAGGGCTAAGTGGAACGTGGTCAATCGCTATAAATCTAAGTGTGGGAAGTCTATGATTTGCTTGAAGAAAATGTTTAGCTACTGGCTTATCAGATTTTTGGTCTCTGAATGCGGTGGTGATGGTTGATCTATGGCCACGGATGCGTTCCCGGAGAGTCAAATCAGTCTTTCCCACATATGAAAGACCGCAAGGGCACGTAATTAAATATATCACGTGATCAGTCATGCAAGTGATATAGTGAATAATAGGGATCCGAACTCCACTATGTGGATGAACAAATGATGTGCCTATGTTCATATGACTACAGGTTACACATCCACTACACCTATAGCAGCCTTTCTTAGTGGGTCCTGTGATTTTCCGATAACATAAAGTGGGATCACTTCTCACGAGTAAATCTCTGAGGTTCCTGTTGCGTTTCAGACTGATAGTGGGTTGTTGACTGAAGATAGAAGGTAAATTTTTGTCAGAACCTAATATACCCCAGTATTTATTAATAGTCCGTTGAATTTGTGAAGTGCCAGTGTGAAAGGTTAAGGGTAAATACATTTTAGCCATTGGTGGTGTATTGCGTACAGCCTCTAAAGGGCTAGCCATCTGTTTCAAAGCTTTAGCCTTAGCATTCTCCAAAACCTCGGGACTGTATCCTCTCATAAGGAATCTATCCGACATTTCTTGTAATTGATTGGCTTGATTAACGGGATCACTATTATATCTCAGTACCCGCATGTACTGGGATACAGGGAGCGATTCCTTCAGTTTTTTCGGATGGTAACTATTAAACTGAAGTAATGTATTTCTTGCAGTGTCTTTGCGATATAGGGTGTATCCCAACGTACCCTTTATTCCATCTTTGTAAATGGACACATCTAAAAATTGAATTGACTGAAAGTCAAAAGTGAGTGTGAGTTTCACAGGAAGCTCCGAGGAATTGATCTCTTTAATCATTTGTTCTAAAGTATGCAGTGTTCCTGTCCAAATTAGAAAGATGTCGTCCACAAAACGATGATAAGTGAGGATTTGATCACAGTATTTTTCTAGAATATGTTGAGTTTCAAAAAGGAACATGTATGCATTGGCATATGAAGGTGCCATCGCTGCACCCATTGATGTGCCTATCAGTTGTAAATAGAACAGATCTTCGAACTTAAAATAGTTACATGTCAATGCTATTTGTAAAAGTTCCATGAGAAATTCTATAGGTGGACCGTTATATCTGGATGAATTGCAAAGAATCTGTCGCAATGCTTGTATACCCTCAGTATGGGGTATGATGGTGTATAGGTTTTTGACATCTAAAGTAACCAAAAGATGTTGACTTTCCACTACAGTTAACTTTTTGATATTTGCCAAAAAATCACTGGTGTCACGCAAACACGTTGAAAGATCCGTAACTGAAGTTTTAATATAATAATCAATGTATTTGCCAAGAGGCTCCAATAAACTGTCTCGAGCCGAGACAATCGGTCTGCCGGGGGGATTCAACGGATCTTTGTGGATTTTTGGTAATGTATACAAAACTGGATGTTTCGGATATTCGACAAATAAATATTTAGCTGTATTTGTGTCAATAAAACCCATTTGAATTCCAGTAGTAATTATAGTTTGAATTTTGTTTTGAAATTTCTTAACCGGATCAAAGGTTAATTTCTGATAAGTGGTTTTATCAGAAAGTTGGTTACAAATTTCTTCTTTGTATTTATCATAAGCCATCACCACAATCGCTCCACCTTTGTCGGCGGGTCGAATGATAATGTTGGGGTCAGTCATCAGGTCTTTTAAGGCAATCTTCTCAGCTTTAGAGAGATTCTGTCGATGATCGGTAGGATTTTTTAATATCATCTCTGATTCGTTTTTCACTGATTGCATAAAAGTTTTAATGGAAATGTTGGAGGTTTTCTGATCTCCTTTATATTTAATCTTAAAGGGATTTTTTATAATCTGAGTGGAAGTATCTACCGTAGTAGGATTATCTTTCCATCGTTCATAGTTCGTCAAAGTCCGTTGTATTTTGTATAGTTCAATATCCACTTGAAGTGGAGCTGGTCTGGAAACAGGTACAAATGTTAACCCTTTAGAGAGCACGGATGAATGATGTTCTGTTAAGATCTTCTGAGATAAATTAAATATTAACTTCATCTCTTTCCCAACGGTGGTTTTCCTTTTGCTCCTCTGTTTCTGGTGTCCCTTCTTTCCTCTCCTGGTGACTGCGTTCTTTTTCCTCCTCTGGTCTGCGTGTTTGACGTACCTGGGGACTCGTATAGTCGACTGTTTACTTCTAAAAAAGGGCGTTTTTCGTGTGTTATTCCTTCATCCTTTGTATCGGCATCGGAGGCTGATTCTCCTGAACTGGTGTCAATGGTCGAGAAAACAGTTTTTTTAATGCGATATTTATATCTTGGAAAAGATTCTCTGTTAGGAGTTTGATTGCCACTCAACCACCTATATACTTGGTGGCTTTTGTAGTCATAATTAACTTTATCCAATTTTTGTTTTTTGAATCTGATAAGTTCGTTCTTGTATTTATTAATGTCATCTTGTAATACATAGTCACATTAGTTGCAATTAAGCACGATAGATGTATCCGTTACAGTTTACATCTTATCACCTAGTAACCACGTTACACGTAATGACGCACGTTGAAGCCATCACGTGAGACGCCGAGACACTTCCGGGTTCGGCTAGCCGCACACACGAGATTGGTGAGTCATTTGTTCCCTACACATATTTAAACTGCATTCATTTCACTTTGTGTTTGATCTTGAAAAAGACCCTGAGGGGTCGAAACGTCGATTTGATGTCTTACACTTTGATGTAACTTTTTTACAATAAACACCGATAAAGAAGTCCTGTTGAGTGCTCCTATTTATCTATGGGTATAATTTTTTTGACGCTGGAAGCACCAAAGGCAACAATCATATGAGTCTTCTGAAGGGTGAGTGCCTAAATCCGATTTTTTTTTGTATATATATGGTGTGCGTCGCACCATTTTGGGCACCCCCAGAATTTACATTTATTCACTAAATCGTGCGTTCAGGCACAACTTCAAGCTTGTCATTATGGAAGATTTTTTCATGAAAGCAGGAGTCTTTGCTGACTCAGCAGAAACTTTATCTATTTCTGAAGATCAGGCTCAAGCTATTTTATGGTCCAAATCAGCCAAAGATCTTTCGCATTCTAGCACCATTAAAGATCTTTACAATGATCTTATAAAACTCAGAAGAAGGGAGGTAGATCTAGATCTACACGGCATTTTCATCTCGGATTATCACAGAGCGAAGCGGATCCCCCGTGGATTCAGAGTTAGAAACTCTCCAACTATTGGGAGGCAAAATCCTGACTTTTGTCGCAAATGGATGAATATTGCCAATAAATGTTCCCTCGACTGGATGGTCATAGTCGTGGAGGAAGTTGGAAAAGAACTCATTGGAGTGAAGCAGACTATCCAAGAGATAGAGAACATCAATGTGGATTTACTACACTCGTCTGCAGCCACTGAACACATGTTAAAATTACAAGATGACATTAATAAATACAAGAACGAACTTATCAGATTCAAAAAACAAAAATTGGATAAAGTTAATTATGACTACAAAAGCCACCAAGTATATAGGTGGTTGAGTGGCAATCAAACTCCTAACAGAGAATCTTTTCCAAGATATAAATATCGCATTAAAAAAACTGTTTTCTCGACCATTGACACCAGTTCAGGAGAATCAGCCTCCGATGCCGATACAAAGGATGAAGGAATAACACACGAAAAACGCCCTTTTTTAGAAGTAAACAGTCGACTATACGAGTCCCCAGGTACGTCAAACACGCAGACCAGAGGAGGAAAAAGAACGCAGTCACCAGGAGAGGAAAGAAGGGACACCAGAAACAGAGGAGCAAAAGGAAAACCACCGTTGGGGAAGAGATGAAGTTAATATTTCATTTATCTCAGAAGATCTTAACAGAACATCATTCATCCGTGCTCTCTAAAGGGTTAACATTTGTACCTGTTTCCAGACCAGCTCCACTTCAAGTGGATATTGAACTATACAAAATACAACGGACTTTGACGAACTATGAACGATGGAAAGATAATCCTACTACGGTAGATACTTCCACTCAGATTATAAAAAATCCCTTTAAGATTAAATATAAAGGAGATCAGAAAACCTCCAACATTTCCATTAAAACTTTTATGCAATCAGTGAAAAACGAATCAGAGATGATATAAAAAAATCCTACCGATCATCGACAGAATCTCTCTAAAGCTGAGAAGATTGCCTTAAAAGACCTGATGACTGACCCCAACATTATCATTCGACCCGCCGACAAAGGTGGAGCGATTGTGGTGATGGCTTATGATAAATACAAAGAAGAAATTTGTAACCAACTTTCTGATAAAACCACTTATCAGAAATTAACCTTTGATCCGGTTAAGAAATTTCAAAACAAAATTCAAACTATAATTACTACTGGAATTCAAATGGGTTTTATTGACACAAATACAGCTAAATATTTATTTGTCGAATATCCGAAACATCCAGTTTTGTATACATTACCAAAAATCCACAAAGATCCGTTGAATCCCCCCGGCAGACCGATTGTCTCGGCTCGAGACAGTTTATTGGAGCCTCTTGGCAAATACATTGATTATTATATTAAAACTTCAGTTATGGATCTTTCAACGTGTTTGCGTGACACCAGTGATTTTTTGGCAAATATCAAAAAGTTAACTGTAGTGGAAAGTCAACATCTTTTGGTTACTTTAGATGTCAAAAACCTATACACCATCATACCCCATACTGAGGGTATACAAGCATTGCGACAGATTCTTTGCAATTCATCCAGATATAACGGTCCACCTATAGAATTTCTCATGGAACTTTTACAAATAGCATTGACATGTAACTATTTTAAGTTCGAAGATCTGTTCTATTTACAACTGATAGGCACATCAATGGGTGCAGCGATGGCACCTTCATATGCCAATGCATACATGTTCCTTTTTGAAACTCAACATATTCTAGAAAAATACTGTGATCAAATCCTCACTTATCATCGTTTTGTGGACGACATCTTTCTAATTTGGACAGGAACACCGCATACTTTAGAACAAATGATTAAAGAGATCAATTCCTCGGAGCTTCCTGTGAAACTCACACTCACTTTTGACTTTCAGTCAATTCAATTTTTAGATGTGTCCATTTACAAAGATGGAATAAAGGGTACGTTGGGATACACCCTATATCGCAAAGACACTGCAAGAAATACATTACTTCAGTTTAATAGTTACCATCCGAAAAAACTGAAGGAATCGCTCCCTGTATCCCAGTACATGCGGGTACTGAGATATAATAGTGATCCCGTTAATCAAGCCAATCAATTACAAGAAATGTCGGATAGATTCCTTATGAGAGGATACAGTCCCGAGGTTTTGGAGAATGCTAAGGCTAAAGCTTTGAAACAGATGGCTAGCCCTTTAGAGGCTGTACGCAATACACCACCAATGGCTAAAATGTATTTACCCTTAACCTTTCACACTGGCACTTCACAAATTCAACGGACTATTAATAAATACTGGGGTATATTAGGTTCTGACAAAAATTTACCTTCTATCTTCAGTCAACAACCCACTATCAGTCTGAAACGCAACAGGAACCTCAGAGATTTACTCGTGAGAAGTGATCCCACTTTATGTTATCGGAAAATCACAGGACCCACTAAGAAAGGCTGCTATAGGTGTAGTGGATGTGTAACCTGTAGTCATATGAACATAGGCACATCATTTGTTCATCCACATAGTGGAGTTCGGATCCCTATTATTCACTATATCACTTGCATGACTGATCACGTGATATATTTAATTACGTGCCCTTGCGGTCTTTCATATGTGGGAAATACTGATTTGACTCTCCGGGAACGCATCCGTGGCCATAGATCAACCATCACCACCGCATTCAGAGACCAAAAATCTGATAAGCCAGTAGCTAAACATTTTCTTCAAGCAAATCATAGACTTCCCACACTTAGATTTATAGCGATTGACCACGTTCCACTTAGCCCTAGAGGAGGGGATAGATCGAAATTGTTACTCCAACGCGAAACCTATTGGATACACCGTTTAGACACTGTTACCCCGAAAGGACTCAATGAATATATATCATTTTCTATGTTTACTTGATTAACTAAATTTATTTGATCTTGTTCTTCTGATATTGAGTATGTGGTATACACGAAGAGTTATTAAGTTGTAAAGATACTTATTATGACATTATGCATATCTAACTGTATTCTAGCCTGCATAGATACTAGTAGTATGACTTTAGATTTAGTCTCAGAGATTTTTGCCGATTTGATTCTTTTTGAACATGCAATACTTACATTTTCTTATGCACTGCACTTTGTATTGCCCTTTATTGCACTTTGTTAGGCATTATCTTAGAGACATATCAATCTTTATATTCCCAGTACGAATTACAAGTAAATCTTCCTATTTAGTATTACTTTGTTTTTATCATTCACTTTTTGATCTCTAGAATGAGATCTCTTAACACTTTGGCTTATACATAGTCACATTAGTTGCAATTAAGCACGATAGATGTATCCGTTACAGTTTACATCTTATCACCTAGTAACCACGTTACACGTAATGACGCACGTTGAAGCCATCACGTGAGACGCCGAGACACTTCCGGGTTCGGCTAGCCGCACACACGAGATTGGTGAGTCATTTGTTCCCTACACATATTTAAACTGCATTCATTTCACTTTGTGTTTGATCTTGAAAAAGACCCTGAGGGGTCGAAACGTCGATTTGATGTCTTACACTTTGATGTAACTTTTTTACAATAAACACCGATAAAGAAGTCCTGTTGAGTGCTCCTATTTATCTATGGGTATATATATATATATATATATATATATATATATATATTTTATATTATATATATATATATATATATATATATATATATATATATATATATATATAAAAAAAGTCCAAATATCAGAAAATGCTGAAATAGTTTCTTAAAAAAAAAAAAAAACACCATATTAACAAAAACACCAATAATTCATTCTAATATATTACTCTTTCTGGAGAATGTGAAACATGAGAAGAACCTCCAGTCAGGAAGTAGAATATCTAGCCAGGTCAAAGAAGTATCGCAAATAAATCCCACAAACATAATTCCATCATAACACCCTTCCGTTCATAACAGGGACGTTTTTGACACAAAGATCCTAGAGGATCTTACCAACAGGTTTAATCCAGTGTGTGAGTTGTATAGCCAAGGAAAGGGAAGGAGAATAAGTGGCCTGACAACAGTCAGAAACATAGATTATGATTAATTTAGAGAAGAAAGATTACAAATCTATTTCTAATGTTATTTCATCTGCACAGAAAAAACATTTTTCATAAAAGTCTGAAATGTAATCCCAAATATTTCGAGATCCTCAAAAATCTTTGAGAATTTTTTTTATAAAGAAAGAAAAAGGATATAATAACATCATTAATTACAATATAGATCCCCTTCAGAGATTTAAACTAAAATCGACAAGTCATTTTGAAGTGGTCAGCAGAATGCTCATTAGAGATTTTGAGAGATTGGGTAAGAGTTTTAACAAAAAAAGTTTGAAAAAAAAAACTACAAATTAATCTGAATATGGTTTTAACAAAGATTTTAAATGTTTAACTGATGACAAAAAGAAGGGTATAAAAAAATTATAAAATCTATTACTTCCTATTGTTAGAATTTCCCAAGATACCAACTTTTTATTTATTGCCTAAGTTACACAAATCTAAAGAGAAACCACCCAGAGGACTAATAATTAGTGGTATTGATTCCCTTACTACAAACTATCATAATTTATAGATTGTTATTTTACAAAAATACATACAGATTATCTACTTGAAAGATATCAAGCACCTTATTCAAGAACCAGTCAATAGAATGGAAGGGAAATATTATGTGAGCAACTTTAGATGTTACCGCTTTAAACACTATTATTGATACTAAACTAGGAATAGAGGCAGCGAAAGCAAGTCATGAAATGGATAAAGATATTGATCCCTTTTTAGTGAATTTTTACTCTATCAAGTCTAGAAATTTTATCTTTACTGACATTTTTTCTAGTATTAATGAAAACATTTTTCTACAAATAAAAGGTAATGCAATGGGCACCATGTTCGCTCCAAGTTACACTGTTATTTTTATGGATTACTAGGAAAGATCCAGTATATGGAATAATAATCCATATGGTGCAAACTTGGCACTTTGTAGATGATACATTGATGACATTTTAATAGTTTGGCATTGTCCTGTAAATATTTTAAATAATTTTATTGAACATATTGACTGCAACTCCTTATTTATAATTTTTTTAACCATAGGATTGAAAAGAATAAGATTGATTTTCTAGGTCTAATGTTGTATAAAAAAAAATTATTATAAACCAACGGACACAAATTGTTTTATTTATGCTTATAGTGGACATCATCCTAAATGGTTAGCTGGGGTTCAAAAAAGACAATAGATCAGAATTCACAGAAATTGCACTGACAAAGATTAGTATTTAAAACAAGCAGATGTTTTAAAAGAAAATTTTTTAGAAAAAGGCTGTCCAAAAAGCTTTTTAGAAACAGTAGTTTTTAAAATTGGCAATACGAACATAAATTAATTTCTTCTAAATAGACAGAATGAAGGACACAAAAAATTTAAGTTTTGAATATGCTTTTAATACCCAATTTCATTCAAAAGCATTTGATATTCACTAGATAATCAAAAAATACTGGTAATTTCTCCTAGAGTATGAGTTTTTGAAAAACTAAACTATCTTGGGTTGCTCAAGCATTTTTTTTTTTTTAGAAAAGGGGCAAGTTTTAAAAATCTTTCCACAGTGAGAAAGTCGTACCAAAAAATAAAATAAAAAGAGAGAGGGCTTTTTTACATGTGGACAGTGCAAGGATTGTAATATCTCCCTAAAGCTACCCGGGAATTTACAAGTACTTAAATCCAAGAAAAATTTAAGAATAAGAGTTATGTCTGCCGTTCTTCCACGCATGTTGTCTACCTACTTATTTGTGGTTGTGGTATGCAATACGTGGGATGGACAGGGAAAAAAAGCTAAAGTATGATATTTAGAATATCAAAATAACATTCAGAAAAAAAATGGTTTCCCATTCAATACATTTTCATTGTAACAAATGGCCCTATTTTAATCATATTTTTTAATTTATAATTATAGAAAAGGTAAAATTAGATGAAAGAGGAGCTGATCTCATGATGAAATTGAGAAGCATTTTGAGCATTCTGATCTCATGATGAAATTGAGAATGATTTTGGATCCACAGATAGCAGACTATGCAACCAGAAGGCTTAAGTGTGGATTTTGATTTAATTAGTTTTTTTTTTGTAAAACATTTATTTTCCTTACCTTTCCAGCTTCCACCTTTTAGCTTGGAAGTATATAAAAATGCAAAAAAGTATATAAAACTATATTAGGTTGGAAGTATATAAAGTATATAAAACACTTTTAAAATATCATGTACAGACCAGGTTAAAAAAAAAGAGTTTACCAGTTTTTTCAATTTTTTTTACCTAGTGTGTGCATGATATTTTAAAAGGTTTTATTTATATATATATATATATATATATATATATATATATATATATATATTTATGCATTTTTATATACTTTTCTATATAGTTTGATTATTCAATAAATTATACATTTCTAATTCTCCAGAAAGAGTAATATATTTTAATGAATTATTGGTGTTTTTGTTAATAACTTTAAAGTTTGGTTTTTTTTTTTAGTAACCTTTAAGAACATTTTTCTGCAATTTTCAGATATTTTAACTTTTTTCCTGTTTTATAGCTTCTTTGCAATATATTTTATAAATGTTTAGGTCTGTTATTTTTTTTCATAGACATTATATTGATGTATACTCCAATGATGTGGACCTTTTGGTATGTTCATTAGATGTGTTATGTATGCTTTAATGACCAAATACCTAATTTACATAATTTCAGTTTTTACTGTAAATATGAGTCCAAGGACTGTTAGAATGAAAGGTTCTGATTATGTGCAATGCAGCGTTCAAGCTGAAACTCAAACTGCAAGTGGAAGCCAATGCACGAACCAGCTCTGGGATGCACACATGACCAGCAATGTGAAATGAGAACGAGGCTTGAATCAGGGCTGAACAAGCTCTTATAGTGAACAGGCTCCAAGTGGATTGGCTGATGGTGGCCCACTGGAATACCCTAATGGATTTAAATACCATCAAAATGCTAACTGGAGAACATGCTGCTTTCCCAAAAGACTCGCACATTGACTTAAACCTGGGGAAGTTCAAGTAATTGAAAAGGACACCTAAGGCTGAGAACTCCTTTATATGTTTGTTTTATGGTATTCATTTTTGGATTTATTATTCATGCGTTGTGCACTATTGATGGAGAAATTAGGTACCCCTGATTCATGTGGAGAGTACAACTGGGGCCCAATGCATTCTTCAACTCATGCCATTGTGCTGATGTGCTTTAACTTATTGTTTATCTTGTATATGTAACTTGTTTTACAATTTGTGCTTTTATGTGGAAGCTCTGCACTATGATTTCTTCCTTTCTTCTAAATGTCCTAAAATTAAAGTGAAGAGTCTGGTATTTTGGCTTTTTATCAGGAGTGATTTAAAGTGATATGCCTTCAATCAAAAGTGGTTTGTGAGTGAACTTGATCCACTTATAGTACCCTGGTCTATTTACAGTACTGTCCTATGATTGCTTTTTCTATGCTATATCAGTAGATGTATTTTGGTTTTGTTATTTTTGTATAGATCAAAGTATATAGGGGTAATTGTCATTAGTGCCCACTCACAGTTTTTTCCACTGATATCATAGGGTGTATTTTTGTTTTTGCATATCTACTATGGTAAGCATCCTTTCACATATGGCTTGCAAACAGACATATGACTTTTCTTCATCTACTAATGTACTGATATAAGAAATTATGATGATGTAAATATATATGAAATTATTTACTCCTTAGTGTATAAGGCAACTCCTGAGGAGGTTAAATCCCAAGACAACTATAACACTTATGTGATGAAAATTCTGGAAATCTTTAAAGCAGGTAAATTAGATTTTTTATTTATTTTTTTGTAAATATAATTTTTATTGTTTTATCAATGGTAATGTTCATATTCTCAAGAAATACAGAAAATACAGTGCGGGGCTCGCAGGTCCCTTATATAACTAAGAGGAGATAATGTTGTGATTTTCTATGACTATTGCACTATAGTGATGTCACGAAACCGGATGCTGTCCAGGAGGTGGGAGGGTCTGGGAGGGAGGGTCTGCTGGAGATTGGCCGGGATGTGTCGTGGCGAACCGTGGCGAGCCGTTCGCGGAAAGTTCGCGAACGGTTCGCGACATCACTATTGCACTATGGGGGCACACAGGCCCCAAGCATCTGAGGACTCGCAGGTCCCTTATTGAATCACATTTCCAGTATAGCAATGGTAGTTTATTGCTGGGGTTTCGGTATTCTCTCCCCGCTCTTTCCTTTTTGTGGGTTTGCTGTTTGTTATTTTCTACTTAGGTATAGCCCGGAATTTCAGGTGTGTGTCAGCGCAGGGCTCATAGGTCCCAAGAGGGCCATGCAAGGGTTAGCGATGGTCTTATATGGTGGTTATACTTTTGGGCTTGCAGGCCTCTGTCAGTTATGGACTCGCAGTATCTTGCCTTGTGACACTCTGTTATGTTTGCTTGGCGTGTCTCAGATCTCAGGATCTGCATTGTGATTCTCCTAAACTACCGCATTGAGAGAGCCCTTCCAGCGGATCTCTCTGGCTGGTCCATGTTGCCCGGATAGAGCAGTGTTCTGAGTGTAGGGGTATAGTAGAAAGTGGGAAACAGGGTACAGGGACAGATACTGGGGTGTCAGGGAGTTGTCAGTGTCTTGCGTCTTTGTTGTGATCCGTCCATGTCATTCAGTACTGTAGCTTGTCAAAGTCTGGTTTCGTCGTCGTCAGCTGCCATTGTGTCCATGTGTTTAAATATGATGGGTGTGTGTCCGCTGTGCTGGTGTGAACGTCCTCCATTGATCTTAGCTCCTCCATTTGGGAGAACTATGACCTCAGTGAGGGAGTTCCCGGTTGTTCCCAGTTTTGTGGGATTACTAATGTGGCTATATTCAGGATGCAAATCATGATAGATTTCTTATAGAGGGTTCTAGTGGTCTTGGAGTGATGTAGAAGCATTTCTGCTTCTTGCATTCCCACCAGATGTGGAGTGTGGCTTTCTCCTCGTCACATCTCCAGTATAATGGGGAGTGATCCGGGGTGATCTTGTGTAGTGTTGAAGGAGTACAGTGCCATAAGGTTAACAGTTTGCATGCTGTCTCCTGTGGTTTGCTAAAACTAGAGCAATGGTGTGTGAGGTAACATATTTTTCCCACTCTGCCTTGTCAAATGTGCAGTCAAGGACTGTCTCCCATTTCCCCATGAAGCTTGGCTGTTCAGTAGGGGTATGTGTCAGTACTAAAGATTATATGAAGGAGACCCCATGACCAATGGGTCAGGGCCCAGACAAGTACTTTTAAATATGGTGGGGGCCCGGGATAGTATTGTCCCTTGTGGGAGTGTTGCAATAAAGCTCTGTAATTGTTTGTGTTTCAGTCGCATAAGAAAGGTTATGTTTGCATCTCACCTCATGTCAGCTAGTTTCTTAATACCCTCTGTCGAGTATACATGTCCGAGTTGGGGTAAGAGGTCATCTATAAGTGTTTTGGAGGCGTTCTGGTCCAGTCCCAGCGGAAAGTCCAGGTTGTGTGTCAATGGAAGTAGGGGAGATGGGTATGTTGAAATAGTGTGTTTCCCATGGCATGATGCCATACCCATAAGGTGGCTCTTGTGTACGAGGAGCAGTCTCACTCTCCCCCTGTGGCCGCAGGTGGTAGCCATGGCAGCAAAGCAATGGGGATGCCCGCCTTACTCTCCCCTGCCTGTTTCCTTTTGTTTGAACCACTCCATTATCCGCAGGAGATGGCAGGCCTTGTAGCAGAGGGAGAAGTCGGGTATCGCCAGGCCACCCTTATCTTTTGGTTGGATTAGCAGGGTGAGTTTTATTCTGGGTATTTTCCCATTCCAGATGTAGTGAACACGAGACTGGGCTGGAGGGCAAGGACGAAGAGCAGCAAAGACTGGAGGGTGCCATTCTGGATTGCAAACTCGGCCGTCAGTGCCCCATTAGCCACCACCTGAGCGATCAGTCTTGTGCGTAAGGCCTTGATCCATCCCAGCATCTTGGGGCTCAAACCGGCGTGTGCTAAAGTCCAGGATAAGCATTTCCAACAGACCCTGTCGAAGGCCTTCTCCGCGTCCGTGGATAGCAGGAGAAGGGCCTCCATCAGTGGGTGACAACCATGATGCTTGTCACGGGCCCGGCGGTCCTGGGGGGCCCGGACTGCTTTGGCAGGCAGAGCCCCACAATTACTCTCTGCACATATATATAGCGATGATCGCTATATATATGTGCAGCCGCGGGCCCCCCCCGGCTCCCTGTATTTGCAGAGGGGGCCCAGCGGACTGCAGGAGCACTTTACAGATCTTCCCTCTCTCTAACTCCTGTGAGACGTGCGGCCATTAGAGCGTTGCCATGGTTTACCATGGCAACGCTCCACGCGGCGTGCACACCACTTCTCGCGGGAGTTAGAGAGTGGGAAGATCTGTAAAGTGCTCCTGCAGTCCGCTGGGCCCCCCTCTGCAAATACAGGGAGCCGGGGGTCCAACCATGCCACCGGACCACCAGGGATGGAATATCCCCCCTCCCTGAACCAGGTAAGAAACAGGGAGGGGGGAATATCTTTCATTACATTACATGCATACACTAGTAAACACACACACTCTGCAGTGAGCCCCAATCTGACACCCTGCTGAGTGCCCTCGGTAATCTTTAACTAGCTACATCATCAGCTGTATTTTGCCAGTACTACCTTCGCTGGACTATTATAGCATGCATATCCAGCTTTTGTATCTATACTGGGCATACTGATCATTTTAATCTAAAGGCATGCTTTGTTCAAGTGATTGCATATAAATGATAATTTATAATAATTTGACAATCGGAAGTTTTTGGACTTTTATATAAACATGATTTGGACTTTTATATAAACACCCCCTCCTTACCCTCCAACATTTTATTTTTCTCTGTGCTATTATTTTAGGAACCGACATTGTGGAGCCAGAAGATAAGCGAGATTTCATTAGCCATGTCAAATGCAAAGATCTCTTAGATTTGAAGACTGGAAAAAATTATCTAATGTGGGGTGTTTCAACTGACCTTTGGCAAACAAAGTCTGGGTAAGTGAGTCACACAATGAATTGACCTCTGACAAACTTGATTTCTAAAATACATTGAAATAAAAGAATATCTTGCTTAGTAAGATAATCTGGGGGATCTCAAGATTATTTTGTTTATTTAGTTATTTTTAAATATTGATGTATAGTTTTATTGTGGATAATACCTGCCAAACTTGTTCAAGTTACACATAACGAGATAACCAGATTACTCCAGATCAGCTTAAACCAAAGCATCGAAACATGAATATTTTTAATATAAGCTGAATATTTTTAACTCAAATGCATATAAAACACCGTTTAGAGTAACAATTTCACGTAGATAAATACATGAGTGTGTCTCATCTATCTCGTCCTCCAGTGCACGAAATAAGCACTCCAAGCAACATAACCACTATAGTAACCATAGAGTGCCCTGGCAGCATTCCCCATTTTAATATCAAACCCTCGAGAAATAGGTTAGCTCAGCAATCTCAGGATAGGTGAATTTAATATTAATTATATGTAAGTGTTAATTCCACAACATCACCTTGGACGTAAAAACCCAATGGCAGAGTATAGGATATTTTATACCCTACTAACCTCAACATATGAGGAAAGGGATTTAGGGGTGATTATTTCAGATGACTTAAAGGTAGGCAGACAATGTAATAGAGCAGCAGGAAATGCTAGCAGAATGCTTGGTTGTATAGGGAGAGGTATTAGCAGTAGAAAGAGGGAAGTGCTCATGCCATTGTACAGAACACTGGTGAGACCTCACTTGGAGTATTGTACACAGTACTGGAGACCGTATCTTCAGAAGGATATTGATACCTTAGAGAGGGTTCAGAGAAGGGCTACTAAACTGGTTCATGGATTGCGGGATAAAACTTACCAGGAAAGGCTAAAGGATCTTAACATGTATAGCTTGGAGGAAAGACGAGACGGGGGGATATGATAGAAACATTTAAATACATAAAGGGACTCAACGCAGTAAAGGAGGAGACTATATTTACAAGAAGAAAAACTACCACAACAAGAGGACATAGTCTTAAATTAGAGGGGCAAAGGTTTAAAAATAATATCAGGAAGTATTACTTTACTGAGAGGGTAGTGGATGCATGGAATAGACTTCCAGCTGAAGTGGTAGAGATTAACACAGTGAGGGAGTTTAAGCATGTGTGGGATAGGCATAAGGCTATCCTAACTATAAGATAAGGCCAGGGACTAATTAAAAGTATTTTGATATATTGGGCAGACTAGATGGACCGAATGGTTCTTATCTGCCGTCACATTCTATTTTTCTATGTTTCTATCAGTGCAACTGAGATGGGAATGGTTCCTTTGTGCCAGAGGAGTTTATTATTATTATTTATTTATTTTTTACAGAAAACTGCTCTAAAATGCTTTTATATTAAAAAGGTAAAAATGGTGCAATGTCACTCGAGTTAACATAACCACTATAGTAAGAAAGTAATGGTTAAGTTGCTCATAGTGCAAATCAAGATGGACAGCACCTGATAGGATACTACCCATCACAAACATTCTTTCAGATTAATTCGATACCTGGGTCAAAATAAAACAGAAAGAAAAACCTTAATTTTCTAAAACACAATACATAATGTTGTGAACAAAATGTTATTTGAAAATGAATTTTCACCAGACAAACACTAAACCCCTTGTTTTCTTTAGATACAGCTATATCGTTGGCAATGAAACATGGGTGGAGTGGTGGCCAACGGACATAGAATGTCAGGATAGAAAGAACCAAAAGCAATGTGATGACTATTTCGAACTGTCCGAAACGTTATCGGACTTTGGCTGTTCATCTTGAAGAACCAGGAGTGTTTCTCTTTTATAACAAGCAAAATGATCCCTATTCCTCCTTCCCTATCTATGTTTTGTTTTAATTTTGTATGCCATTAAAAACATATGCCCGAAATGCCTCTTGTGCTTCTGCGTTATTCTCAGCTATGCCTCTGTTAAGCTGATGCATTCTCTTCTTTGCATAAGATGTGTCTCCTTTAAAAAAAAAGTGTTAACATACACAATTAGGGAAAAAGTCACATTGCTGGAAAAAAAAGAGAAAAAGAAAGATTGCAAAAATTGCAAAAATGTGTTTTTACTTTTCCTTTATTCAAACTTCATTTCTCTTTTATTACACAGTTACAGAAAATAATTTAAACAATATCAAACACAACACAACAGGAATAAAAAAGGGAGAGGCAAAAGTGGGGGGACAGGAACTTCACCACCCCTATCACCCACTCCCCCCCCTCTATTTCTACCTCAAGCCAAAAAAAAAAAAGAATCCAGTATCCACTAATCAAATTAAATTCAATTATCCCTCTTTTCCAATAACATTCACTAATGGATTTCACCAAATATCCCACATCACCCATACTTCACCATTTTGCAATATAGGTCCAATATTCCTAAGTTCTTTCACTTAAATCATATATCTATATCTCTATTGATGGACAAATACTTTTTTTCCCATAAACTTATTAGGCTTATTAATATTGCCAGAACCTTAATAGCAATAGAATGCTTCAAGTAATTAAATGTAAGAACAGTATGAAAAATACATATTAATTCTGGAGTTAAGTGAAATTCTGGAAGAATGTACCTAGTGATCAGGTTCTCAATTTTCCCCCAAACAAAAGTAATTATCAGGCAACTCCAAAAAATATGTAGAATATCACCCCATGACGTCCACATCTCCAACATTTGTCCCTCACCTGATGGGCAAATCTCTTTATTCCTACCAGGGTTCTATAGTTTCTTATTCTTAATAATTTAATAGCTTGCTCTTAAAATACCGGAGAGGCGGACCTATCTCCCCAGCATTAAAGAACAACGCCTATCTGAGTAGGTCCTAGCCTACATCAAAGGAATTCCAAGCCGGATAGACGGACCAACCATCTAAGTAGATCCGATAGTGGGGATCAAACCACTAAGTGTCTCTTCTCCTAGAGCTGGTTAAAGCTCCAACAAATGTGAGTGAAATACCTTTCCTTTGAATATATACCACATCTGGACATATATATCTGGACATACAATATTTCACCATTGGCAGCTTTTTCTTTTTTCTTTTATCTTCTTTTATCTTCACATATATGGACTACCTACCATACGGACGGAGCAACACTTGAGGACTATTATCGTATTACTGCACATCAGTGAGACTGTTCCAATTTATACTTTTATATATCTGGATGAACTTTACTTGATTTTGCTATTATTGCTTATTTTATCTATATACATTTTTGACACATTTTTTTATCTTTTTGTTCAAGCGCAGCCCTTAACTCCCTTTCTTGCATTTTCTTGTTTTTAAAAGGGTTTCTTGAGGGATTTCCCTTTTAGGGTTGCTGCTTAATTGAGTTAGTGCAGACTCTTCCCCCTTTCTGTTTTACCATTTGTATAATTCCCTCTAGAGTCAGCAGCTTTTTCAATTCCTTTTCTACTATGTCTATATTTGATTATAGGAATAACTATATCATTGATGTTGAAAATGTATTTGACACAGAGGCAACTAGCCCAATTCAGATAAATTACCCCAGTTTTAATCAAGAAGAATTGTTCATTAAACTAGAAAGATCTCTTCAGAAATTAAATTGAAATGGGAAATAGCTACCCTAAAAAAATATATTGATGAAAGAATTACTCCCCGAGGCTTAAGATTACTCAAATTGCACACCTCTGATCAAGATGATCCTGAATTCATGGAGGAGTGGAACAACAAGTTGGAATTATGTACCTTAGGCCTAATGGAGACTTTAATAGTAAAAAAAGCAAAAAATTGTCCATCTTAGACTCAGAAATTAATAACTTGAGAGAAAAACTATTACCCTTCACTGAAACACAAGCTTATAACCAAAACTGCATATTAATTCAAAGTAAGATCGAAAAAGTTGAGACAGATACGAAACACATTAAGATAAAAAAATACATTAGGGACAAGACAGATTATTCCAACAAACAGGTACGCACCTATCACCTGAATAGAAGATATACCACACAAAACTACAAGGATTACTCTCAAACCAACAGGCATCACATAAGGACTGACACATTTCCCCAAACAAGATGAACCACTACTAACACCCGTCAACAAGACCACCACCAAAATCACAACCAATATCATAATTACACTAACAAAAAATTCACACAGTCACCTTACAAATCCCAACTATCACATAAGGCACAAACTGATTTCTACCCTGGACCTTCAGTCGAACCTTCAGTCAGACCAAAATATCAGTCATCCCAAACTCTAACCCATTATAAACAAAAATACACACACTCTCCACCACCTAAAAAATATACCACCAACTCATATAAGAGAAATTTTTTGCCCAAACCTCAAAGATCTAGATATATTAATGACCGAATTGAACATCCCAAATCACCCAGTATCCCTTACCACTAAAATAGATATCAACTACTATCAATTGATTCCGAATTCGAAAATGAGGATCATTTTTTAGAAATTTGCACTCACCCAAGCACTTTGAATCAAACACCTCACCCGTCACGATCACAAAAAAGAACCCTAAGCCTAGAGGAAGAAGAAGTGGCAGACGGGAACAAGAGAGAAAAACTAGAAAGACAATAAGTCCCCCTAAAAACTCAAATAGTGGTATTTTTAATCTTTCGCAAAAAACTCTCACTATAGCACAACTGTCGGTTTTAAGCAAAGGTCTTAAATTTGCCCCAACCAATTCTTTTAAATCCTTCGAGGCTTTTATTGACATTAACAAGTTTGTCCACAAAGCAACCCTAAAACGTTATTTTAATGAAAAAATAGAAGAAAATTTTACTTTTAACAATCCCATTGATAATAGTGCAATTTTACCTCTTTCCTCCTCCCCCAAAAAATATATTATTAATACGCATTTTAAAGAAAAATCCAAATTTTACCCAGCTTTTATGAAAACTGCCCCTTTAACTGTTTTTGAGAAATTAGTCACACATGATTTAAACAAGTTACAGACTAAAAAATACGATACAAAAAATTTAACAAATAAAGAAAAAAAGCACTCAAAGAGCTACAAGATGACAATGACATTGTGATAAAACCTGCCGATAAAGGTGGTGGTCTAGTCATTTTATCTAGTGCCATGTATAAAGAAGAAGCGCACAGACAATTAAATGATCATGACATTTACGAGAAACTTTCATCAGATCCAACAAAGACTATTCAGAACCTCTTTTTAACTTTCCTAAATAAAAGCTATTTTAACCAAACAAGAGTATAATTTTTTAAATACAAATTTTCCAAAAATTCCGGTAATATACTTCCTGCCAAAAATACACAAAAATGCTACTAATCCCCCAGGCAGACCAATAGTGTCAGGGATAGGTTCGCTTTTATGTAACCTATCCCAATATATAGACACTCTTTTACAACCTGCCATTAAAAAAATGAAATCTTACCTTCAAGACTCTATGTCCCTTTTAAACTTTTTAAATGATTTTAAATGGGACCCCAATTTTATTCTGGTCACTTGTGACGTCCAATCACTCTACACAATTATACCTCATGAAGTTGGATGTGAAGCCATTAAAAATATCTTAACAAAGGAAGATAGAATTCCGGAAGAACAAATTGATTTTATCTTAGAGGGTATTAATATTATTTTAAAAAAATAATTATTTATGGTTTTTAGATTCCTTTTACCTCCAAAGAAGAGGAACTGCCATGGGTACCAGGTTTGCCCCTAGCTACGCCCATCTGTTTATGGCAGATTGGGAATCTACAGCCATTTACAACTGAGATAATCTAAGGGCAAACCTGGTCTTGTATTTTAGATTTATTGATGATCTCTTTTTTATTTGGAATGGATCGGAAGACAATCTTATTTCCTTTTTTAATGTTCTTAATACTAATAACAGGGGCATAATTTTAACCCATGAATTTAGTAGAGAACAAATACATTTCCTAGATCTCAATATATTTATTAAAAATGGTAAAATCAATACAAAAACCTTTTTTAAAGAAGTCTGTGTCAATACAGTAATCGATAAGAATAGTTGCCACTACAAACCGTGGCTTGACAGCGCCCCGAAAAGCCAATTCCTTAGATCACGTAGAAATTACACAGAACTAGAAAACTTTGAAGAACAAGCTAATGCCCTCAAAAACAAATTTATAGAGAAAAATTACCCAGACAAACACCTACTTGAAAATATCAATGAGATAAAAAATAAAAACAGAGATGAGCTTTTAAAGTGTAAACCCAAAATCAAAAATGATTCTATATCTCTTCCCATCACTTTTAACTATACCAACAAAAGTAAAGAAATAAAAAAGATTATCCAAAAACACTGGCATATTTTAGAACATGATGAAAAACTTTCTAAAATTATCCGAGAAAAGCCAAGTATAATTTTTAGAGGGGCTCCTAACGTTAAATCTATTCTAACCACCAATTTCACCAAAGAAACCAAACCAAGTAATCTTGTATCTTTTTTCCCCCAATCTTTAGGCTTTCATAAATGCAAGAACTGTATTGTGTGTAAAACAGCTGATCCTACAATGCCACCAAAAATAATAGAATTTATCTCAAATAAAACCAAAACCACTTTCAAAATAAAAGAATTTATTACATGTAATACCAAGAATGTCATCTACTTATTGGAATGCCCGTGTGGCTTCCAATATGTTGGGATGACCACAAGATGCTTAAAAATCAGATTAGGTGAGCATTGAAGGAATATAAAAAATGGCTATTTAAATCACTCTTTTTCAAAACATTTTTTAATTCACAATAAAGATCCCAAAATGCTAAAATATATGGGAATAAAAAAATGTTCCTTACCCTGGAGAGGAGGAGATATAAAAAACATCTTAGGTAAAACTGAGATGGAATGGGTCTATAAGTTACAGACCCTAACACCAAATGGACTTAATGCAGATTTTGACCTGCACAATTTTTTACGATATGTCTATTTAATAATATCCC